ATTTCAATCCGTGTAGATTATACCGTGTTGTAGTAATTGATTTATTTATATCAAGAGAAAAACTACTATTCAAGTCGACGTTATAAGAAACGATTATTGTTTATTTATCATCCAGCCGATTTTAAATTTTATGTTGCTAAGCCATATTACTATGACAGACAAACATTGTAATTAACTATTTTTAATAAACGAACCTAACCTAAGTTATTATACCTACATATTTTTTCAACCAAATAAATTCATAATTAATGCCAATAAAACCCAGTCGGATCGAGTTAAAATTCAAATGAAATATTTGTTTGCTATGCCCGCATACGGCAGTTGTATAAAATTTAAACTATACCCATTTCCCACCCCCCTAGGGGGGGTACAAGTTGTTTTGTTTTTCGGGGGTTTTCGCCGTAATTTTAAGACATTTGGGTTGAAAATTTGGCAGTAGTTGGAACTCATATGTATCCATAACATAATAAACGGAAAAAAAATTCGGTACTGCAGTTTTTTTTTAATTGCCGGAAAACTGTGTTTTCGTAGATTGCGTTTATTTTAACAAAAACACCTAAAATCTTTAAAAAAAATTTATCAAATCTTTAAAAGAATTTTATGTTTATCTATGCAGAATGATACTATTAAGTTTTGTGCTCAAGTACTACTTTTGACTTTAAGTTTGAACAAATTCAATTTTTTTTTTTAAACTAAAAAACACGGTGTACCAGATATGAGAAACGAACAGACACTAAAAACTGTCAGGAGGACTGTTGTTTTTTGGATTCAGATTAAGTGTTGGTTTTTATGCAGTATACCGCCCCAAAATGTATTTTTTATTACACAATTTTTTTAAAGGAAAATTAATGTTTTGCATATTGTTATACTGTTATTCATTTAAAGAGATTCACGCTTCATTGTTTAAATTATCTTATATAAGATATTTAATCTGCTTCGTGCTAGTTTTAATTTTTTAGTTTATAATTTTGTAGCTCTAATTTTGTATAAAATATTTCATTATTTTATTACTGTGTTCAAGTTAAGATAGATTTAATAGTATTTAAAAGTGTTGAATGATAGTACTTTATTTTATGACTAGATCAAATCTCGTGAACATTTAACATCATGATACTGCTCCTATACTATTATTAGAAAAACACAATTTTTAAAATCTCCATAAAAGGTTATTGTTAAATAACAGGCAACAACCGACCGCTAGTGACTATACACGTTAGTAGTATGTAACTAATAAGTAATAAATGTAGGTAAAATTTTTTGTTTTGTCCATCACAGAACCAGTATAAGATTTAATTTTAAGGATGTATGAAAAGGTTTTTTTTAGTTGCATTTTATTTTGTACATTGTCCATCTAGTAAAATAGAAGTATAATATAACTTTGAAATAATATAATCTGTGAAGTATAAATTGTTTGTGTGAGATTGCTCTAATGGAAGTATATAATACATAAATATTAATTTTATTGAGAATAAACAATTATTATTTAAACTATGGAATACAAACAATTGAAACATGAATCGTCGACCATTCCAACAAAATTTAACAAGACGTTGTATATGACGTGTTATTTGGTCCACTACGTTTTTGCAAAAAAAACCAGTACAGTGGGGTCGGGGCATAGTGGGGACGGAGCATAGTTAGGTCGGAGCATAGTGGTGACGGGGAGGTCACAGGTTTACAGGAATTTTTAAACCTGAAAGTGATAAAATCACTTTCGAAAAAACGCTTCGATGCAAATCGGTAGTTAGTATTTTCAAGCCAGTACAATCCAAACCAAGCACAGTATAAACCAGTAAAGTTAGAAAGTTTTAAATTGAGGTTCTGTATTTACAAATAAGCATCAAAGCGTTTATTTGAAAGTGATTTTATTCAATTGTATTACTTTTATTTATAATAATTCCTATAGACCTGTGACCTCTCTGTTTCCTCATTGCTTTGATTCCATTATGCCTATACTCTACTGTACTAGTCCTCTCGGATAAAATCACTTATGCCACGACCCCACTGTACTGGTTTTTTTTTTACTTGCCTTTTTCTACCTAACTTTTTATGAGACAAAATTTGAAGTTTCTAATATTTTAATTTTAATATTTTACTATTATTATTATTGACTAAAACAATATCCCGCTACTGTAAAACTTTGTTTGACACTGTGACAACTTTTATTTTTCTGTTGTCAAATTTAAACCACTAATCAATTTAAAATCATCATTAATAATATAGACATACATAAGTTATTAATATGGTCGTTATTTTAAACACAAAAAAAAGAAATTTAACTGTAAAAGATTAGTTTAATTAATTTTAGCGGCTCGTTTTGTTATCAATTTTTATCAATATTTTTCAATACTTTGAAAATGTTAACCTTCATTCCTTATACGAACATAAAAGTTTTAATTTCATAAATTATATGTAGACGAACAATTTTAATACATTGTAGTGTTTGAATTTTCAACAATCTATTCGTTTACTATGACTGTAATGATGTTGTTTATGGTATATGTGTGGTTTGGTGGAATTATTGAATTTACGGCGTTTTGTATAGGCAAACTACAACGCCGGAATGTTCTAAGGTCGGTATAAGGAACGGCGCGGCGTTGTTTTTGTACACCAGTACGGAAAACGACCGTGCTATGACTTATAAAATGAATGAATAAACTGACAAGGGAAAAAAGAGGACGTACATCAGAGTTTTGCTGATTCTTATTCGAATAAAACGTTTTTTGAGTAATTTGTGTACAATTTATTTAAGTAGAAAAATCATTCGAATTATTTTTTTGAAAACTATTTGAATAATTGTTTTACAATTTTTTCGAATAAAAAATTGTCTTCCTACATATAATGGTAAAGTATACTTTGTTTTACTTCCCATTGTCAATTATGTCCAATTTCTTAACCAATGGGCCATTAGTTTTTACTTATAAATAGAGAAAAGTTACATTTATAACTTCAAAACCACAGTAAATTCATCTACATACATGCATTTAAATTATTTAGCTTTACAAAATAATTTTAAAAGATCAGACAACATAACTTTCTTATTTATAAAACAAAAGTAGTTATAATAGTAGTTACATAAATTTATATGTCACTGGGCCTTGGTCTATATTGTATTATTAAAATAAAAATGAAATAAAATAAGTACAAAATAGTTACAATATATTTTAAATTATCAAAAAAAAGTCGTGCATTTAGAAATAATTAATTATACTTATCTAATCAAACATAAGTACAAATAAAGTTACAAATGTTTTTTTTAAATATCCTAATAAACAAGTTACAATTAATAAAAAAAGCTACAAATTACTTTTTATAAAATTGTGTTTTTTCCATAATAATTATTTTGTGTTATTTGGAACAATAAATTATTAATTGAAACTTAACAATATTGGATATTGCCTTCAACAAAACTATAGCGTTCCGAATTAGTATTCAGGTAAGTAAGTAATTGTTTTTGTGTTAATTTGTTAATTTTCTTTCTTTTTTTGACGATACATTTCCCGATCTTAGATAACTTTTAATATATAAGATGTTATTCTAAACTAATGGTATAATACTATTCTCAATTAATATTAGTGTCCATATACTTTTTTCCACATCTCGTCACGTTCACTAATTATTATTACTATACACATTTATATGATTGTTTGTGTTCGTGCGATTAGGGTAAGTTTTTTAGGACGTACTTATTTAATTTAACTTTAAAAAAAACAGTAAAAGACTTATATTGTTGGGTTTTACAATGGTTCTCGCTAGTATTTCTTTATTGTTAAAGGACAGTTTATAAATAGTCACAGAACCTTAAGTGTACTGTTGGTAGTACTAAAAAAAATCTAGACTTGTTCATTTTTTTCAAAAGGTAAAATATGTTTTCGAATACCTATGTTTGTATATTCTTAAAGTTATTTCAAATCAAAGTCACACAGTGTTTTAATTATATCTTAGGACTAAGTAAAATATTGTCACTTTTTAGATAAAATAACATTAAAATTTTTAATAATAATTTCACCGTTTGGTCGTCAAGGCAATTTTTGTCTTGTACCTTGTAAACAACACGGTTTTCTTCGCATTATGATCTTGACAGCCCGGATAAACACTTTGAATTATTCTAACCAACCTCTGTTAAATCAAAAAGCTTATTTCGATTATCATATCAAACTTATACTTACTTATTCTTGTTATTTACACTTTTATTGCATAATTATTTTCAGTTTTTTCTACATTTTTTATTATTTTTGTATATTTACATTCTGTATTTACTTGTAACACTTTTGTATTTTGTGTTAGTTGTTTTTTTGTTTATTTCATTGTTTTTTTTATATATTTATTAAGTTTCATTCTTTTGATTTTTTATACAACGGTGACCGATTACAGGTAAGTTCTTATTTTAAGATGATGTTATAAACTAAAGATAAAATACTATTCTCAATTAGTACAATAGTGTCCACATACTTTTTTTTCTCTTCTCGTTACGTTTTTATATTTAATAATTATTTCTATGATACACATTTTAATGATATGTGTTCGTACGACTAGGTTTAGATTTTTAGGATGTACTTATTTAATAAAACTCTAACAGTCATAGAAATTTAAGTGTTCTGTTGTTAGTATAGATACTAAAAAACTGTTTTAGAAAAAAATGCATTTTTAGTTAGTAAAAAAAATTAATTTAACAACATGCGTCGGCTGTATATTGTAGCTTTCTTGATCCGACGTTTTAATAATATTTATTACTGAAGGAATTTTGAAAAAGAAAAGCTGATAATTTTATCTTACCAAAAGCAATTTAATAAACTAAATGACTAATTATTTTCACTTTTAAAACTTGTACATTTTTTTTAAAAGATAAAGTATGTTTTTCAATATGTACATATAATATTCTTAGAGTGGCCTCAAATCAAAGTCACGCGACATGCGTTCGGAGCTTATTTTTTAAACACAGTATTTGAATTATATTGTCATAGGACTAAGTTAGAAAATATTGTCACTTTTTAGCTAAAATGGCACCGTTAGAAAGAGATCCACCCAAATTCTTATTTGATCATATAAAAGACATAAACGAAGACTTCTTGACGGACGACGAAGAAGAGTTATTTCCAGAACGCCTTATATACAAGTACTAAAGCTTGACAAAATAGTAGCTGGCTAGTCGAGTTTAACAACAGCTAGTGTTAATAATACAATTGTTTTTTTATGTATAATTCGTTTTAGCGACATAGACACAAGAGATAGAGACACGGACGAAGAGATTGACATAAACACCGACGAGTTAAATAACTATATACCTGAAATAGTATTGGAAGTCATTAGACAATGGAGTACATACTTTAATAGTGCTGTTCCGCCACTTGTCAACAACCATGACAGAAAGACAGAGGACAGCGATGACGAGTCAATTGAGACAGACGAAACCGACGACAGAGAGACAGAAGACAACGATGACGAGTCAATTGAGACAGACGAAACCGACGATAGAAAGACAGAGGACAGCGATGACAAAGAGACAGAGGACAACGATGACACAGAGTCAGAGGACAACGATGACGAATCAATTGAGACAGACGAAACCGACGACAGAGAGACAGAAGACAACGATGACACAGAGACAGAGGACAGCGATGACAAAGAGACAGAGGACAACGATGACACAGAGTCAGAGGACAACGATGACGAATCAATTGAGACAGACGAAACCGACGACAGAGAGACAGAAGACAACGATGACAAGTCAATTGAGACAGATGAAACCGATGACACAGAGACAGAGGACAACGATGACGAGTCGATTGAGACAGACGAAACCGACAAAATCCACGACGACGACGAATATTCCCGGAACTTCATGCCCACATACAGCTTCGATGCAAGGCTTGCATATTTCAAGTAAGTACGACCGCTTGGTATTACATTTTTCATATTTTGTGCACCATATAGCTTATCATTGTAAATTAATGTGTACATCAAAAAAATGATTTATTTCCTTCCGGCCGGGTGATCATATTTTGTTATCATTGATGACGACTTAGATAACCTAATCCGAGAAATAGTATTAGAAAACAACTGGAATACATACTGTAATACTTTTAGCGCCATTCACCCGCCTGTCAACGAACGCCGACCAGTTGAGTCAGACTCGGACGACCCGCAGCCGTGCTCATCATCAGGTCTGAAGAGACCGCGTTCAGACTCTGATGATGAGCAACCCAGGTCAACAAAGCGGAGATGGCCAACGTCGTACCAGTCAGAAAGTGAAGAAAGCGAGTCGGACAACTTTCAATAGTACTCCAGCCGATAAACTGTGGCCGGCAAGTCGGCGAAGCCGTTGGCGGACACGTGTGCTGTAGTAGCGCGAGATGCTGCAGCCACTGTCTCCGTCCAATCGCATCCCGAACTTGTCCGGCCGGCCTGTTGAGGAAGACGTGAAGTAGTAATCCAGACGATGGAAACGAAGGGACAACTCGGGAACGACGGTGACGGTGCAAGCCAGTAGCGCGAAATGCTGGCCCACCGTCCCATCTAACCGTATCCTGGACAGTCTGTCGGGGAAGATGTGTAGCGGTGAAGCAGACGGCAGTACTCCAGACAATGAGTGACGAGGAGACGATGAAATATTTTCAATTGAATTTTAGAACAAAATAATAATAATACATGTATTATATGTTCATTAAATATTATTATTATTCAATATATTATGTATATTGCAAATTTGGATTCTAAAATTACTTTACCACTGATGGCAGAGACGTGCTCGGTGGCAAACTATTGGGCACATTTGAACCTGGTAATCTACTTTTTGTATGCGGTGGCCGTCGGAAGACAGTTTACGTTTTTTAATTAGATAGGATTTACTGCGGTGGAACAAAAAATGATATAGGTGATTTGTTTATTTCTTTAATTGAGTAGTAGTAAAACATTGCTTTGAAACATGAAATATATAAAGCACGATAACTATAATCTTTTGAGTTTTGAGGATCCCGGAGCTGTGTGTTAAATTTTTTCTTATTTAGTAATTTATATTTTTTCTATATTAAATAAACAATTCACATGGGACACGTCTTATAAAATGATTTAAATATTTTAAAAATATTATCAAAGGTGCTTGATGCGACTTGTTCTAGGAATACTATATTATAAATCGACATAAAAAATTTTCACTCCACTCCAATAGTCACGTCCCGAAATAATATTATACCTGAAATAATGAATAAATTAATAAGCATTTTTACGTCGACTTAGGCGGCACAGAAACACTGCCTATATAACTCTTTTTTAATACATTTCTAAAAAATAGTAAAAAAGTGAACACTTAAAAAATAACAATTTCACTACAAGAACAATTTACCAATCAATTGTAGTACAGTTTATTTAAAATGTCAATTACTTGGAAAGCAACCGAAAATCAACTAAAATTTTAAATAATGTTGAATATCCTTCAACAAATTATATATACTAGTCAGTATATATAATATTATACGAAGATAAGAGAAAGACGGTTCATACTTGCAGTGGGTTAATTTCTAGCATAGTATGCGGAAAAAAAAATATATATGGTTACCTACTTATAGTTAATAATAAAAATCTGTGGCTTGAAGCAAGAAGGCCAAGATTTAAGGTGTTCATGTTAAAATGTACAAAATATTCCCACAGCTTGTTGATGTGTTTTCGAAACGGGGAAAATGCTTTGGATGAAGTATTATCATTAAAGTTTAGTCCAGTGGCGGCCGACTACAGTACTCTATAGGTATTTTGTTTTATTTACAGACTGTGCTGATGTATAAGAGGATAAAAAAACTCCTCTTGTCCAATTAGAAATACTCATGAACCATATATTGTGTTTCGTGGCGCTCAACCGTTTCTAATTCTAACTAAACATTTATTCGGAAAACACAAAGCCATAATAAGAGATAAGAATGTTTGATAACAGATGAAGAGCCACAAGATGTAAAGTAAAAATCGACCATTCAGCCCCCACAGAGAAAATTGTAAGTGTACTATAAAAAATGTAAAAAAAAACAGTTATATCTGTTCGGTAGACATGCCAAAAAGTGCCTTTAATAACTTTTATTTTTTTATTAAACTTTCGCCATAACTCGGATCCACAATTTCTTATTGATAATTATTGTAAAATAAACATTATAAACAAGTTGGAACACTTGTAAGGGCTTCAAAATTAAGTTAGGTGTAATATAATTTCCCTTAACGGCTTTTCGTTAACGTTTTTTCATGTTAAAGTAGTTTTTATAATTTTTTTTTTTTTTTAATGTAAATATTTCAGCTAAATTATAAAATTTATTGATCAGATTATATTGTTCTCTGCGTCAGACATTTTTTAACGGTTCGTCATTTTCGCCTAGTTGACATTACTTTTTTAAAATTTATTTTCTGACAACTTTTAGAGCCCCGTCGAGGAGTTGTAAAAGCCTTAACAAGCAAACCATAGCTACTACTATTTTTAATTGATTAAAATAATCGATGGGCGAGCGGTGTTTAATCTTTATGCTAATTAACTTCGATAATCTTAAAAACGTAAAACTCATTAATGGAGAGTATTTTATTAACTTAATTGTGTAATTAATTATATTCAGTTTGCTAAACAAACAAAATTGTCCTTGTTATTGAAGATGCGAATTAAATATTTTAGCTCGGTTCAATTATAATATTTATGTCATCAACAAAAGTAGTTTTTACAGTATGAAACATAACCTTAGTAAAAATGTCGCATGTATGTTTTAAACAATAAGGTTAGAAAGAGTATATATTTTTTTGATACAGTATATCAGTTTGATAAAATAATTACACAGCTCAGATAATATTGTAATTTATTATACAAACACAATGCGCCCATGTGTATTATCTGTACCTGTGTCTATGTATAATATATAGACACTCGCAACACAATACAATTATAAAATGTACAATAAATGCTGCCCGTTATTGCTCTCCTGTCCATAGCATAACGTTATTGCAAATTATACAATACCATTACCCTTTATGTTATGTATATTCACATTGATAACCGGTACAGTTCTCTTCAGACGCCATTCACATGGTAGCCACCGGTTGTTTACGTTTTTCATGCGTTGAAATTGTTTTTTATTAAATAGTAATCTTTGTATCTATTGTAATCTTCATTTAAAGTTGCACATTGTGTATTATTTATAGCCTTTGTGGTATTACAATTATCATGTAATAAAACATCCAAACAGGACAGAAATCTAGTACAGAAATCTAAATATTATACACTTGGTTTGTTAAGATTACACGAGCCCCGAATAATAATTATTACTTCAATGACTGTTTAAATATTTAAGCACAATCCATCGAGCCGTAATAAGGTATAATGTAATAAACCGCACCACTGCCTGTTCACTAAACTACCCTTTCTCGCTTTCCCCCATTGGCCCAAAATAGGGTAATTTTAACAGATAGCACATTTAATTCAGTCTTACCATACAGACAGTTGCCAAAAGCTATCAACGAATGAGTCGTACAAATCGATCATGACTTGATCGTATCACTAAATCGAGCAGTTAAATTAATTAAAGGTTATTAAACTAATTATGGAAACTAATTTTGTAACGGTTAATTTAGCTAAACCATAGAAAACTCAATTTTCCATTAAACTAAACAAACTGAGGTAGATTGAGGTTTTACATTGGAATATCAATAGCTAGGCATTTACGACCGTTACTGGAAAGAGTATAATGTGGAAATAATTTATGTCACAAATCGAGTATCAGTCAGATTAGCGAGAAGTTTTCTACTTTAAACGTAAATTGTTGAATAATCGAAAAAAAATTGTCTCTAAAATATGCATTATGCAATAGGAACATATTAAATCTTTCCCTTGGAGCAAAGACATTGTCGATCGTCATTATGTCTTATAATCAGCTATTATTTTCTGTCTCTTAACTGGCACAGTACTTTTCGAAAATTCCAACCCTTCAACCAAGGATGGCCATGGTTACCATGGTTACAAACAAAATATTTTAAATAAATACGTGTTAGTAATATACAATAATGTGTTTAAATAACATAAAATCAACAAATTTCAAATAACCTTCGGTCATTCGGTCGGACGAGTGAAGCCATCAGAGTGCCTACGTTGCGCGGTACAGAACCGAAGGAGAATTTTTTTTTTTTCATTTTTTTACATTTATTTTTTCATTTTTTTCGAGATTTCTAAACGGGTTATAATAGTTTGGTGTGAAAAAGCCAATAAATAACTATAGCATAATAGTCTTTGAGACTTCTTAACGGGTACAATAGTTTAACGCCACAAAGCCAATAAATAACTATAACATACAGCGGCGTAAGTTGGACCGAATTTTGGAGGTTGCAAAGTATATTTAAATTATAATATTTATTTAACATAGGTAGGAACTTAAATACAAATTTACGTGTCAACAGACTTGTTACGGTTCGCAGTTTCATATAGATTTGCGATAAACTAATTTCGTTATTGTTTTAATGACATATAGCTAGATTTTAATATACCTAATATATAAGATGTGATGTACCGAATAAAGGGCATACGAGTTGCCTTTAATCTAAAGATTCACGCTTCGATAAACAGAATTGGAGTATCGTTTCTATCGTTTGGTACAATGAAATTATAGTCTTGAGAAGTTATTATAGAACGCTTTTTTTGAGACTTCTTAACGGGTACTCGTCCCGTAAATATATAAAATCAACAGAAGTCATGTTATAATTGTAATATTATCATAACAACTTCCGCCACCGGAAAATATTATTATAATGTGAAAAAAAAATGAAACGTACAAACCCCACAGCTGTTAACGATATGTTCAGTAGACATAGACGGTTTTCTGGTCTCGAAGAAATGGACGTTGAGAATTGATAAATATAATACAACGTAAAAAGAAACTTTTTTTCCCTCGTCCGGCGGCGTTATTATACTTGAACGCGGAAGCACTAGAAAAAATAAAAATAGAATATTGCTATTGAAAAGCGTGTATACACACTGTGAGCGAGTAAAGTTTACACGACTTGAGTTCCAGTGGGGCAGGGGTGAAGGGGGAGAGTTATTAATATTGTTTTGGCCGGAAAGTTTTTTTTAACAAATTTTATTTTTACCGCTGTCGAAGGTTATATTTTTTGCGACCAACGGAAAACAATATCGTATACACATAATATTTGATTTACAAGTAATAACGAGACGTCGTTTAATAACTCGTTTACTGTATAGGAAATAAATACACTGCAATAAAATATAATAATAATTGTAGTATGCTATTTGAACAAAGACAAAACATATAA